CTTTCTTTAAGGCATGACCATGGGGTGCACCCATTGGGAACAGTTAATTGGCTCTACCAGGTCGTTGGATATTATCTCCTGTATGGCTTTCTCTACCATCGCACGTCTCGCCCACGGTATAGGACGTGGCTGCGATATAGAAAACGGCCTAGCGTCCTGTTTAAGGCATATGCAGTGAGCGGCAAATGGAATCCGGCCAATCGTCTCAGTAAATAATTTGGGATATAAACCTTTGAGCACGGATGCATTGAGTGCCATGGTACGCATTCGATCGATAGATGGCGTTATGTTAAGAGCGACCATAGCATTTCGCCCCAGCAAGGCTGCGCTGTCTTCAGATGCCAGTTACGCAGCAACGTCGGATGCAACGGACTGTGGATCAAGTTCGGTCATTATATATCCATGGATGCACACAGGGGCCTTGGCGTAAAAGTTAAACTTGTACGAAGGGGGATGCAACGGAATGTGATGTAACCAATTGTCATAAAGGCTAGATGAAATGATTGTTATTGGCGATGCAGAATCTAATTTCATCGCAACTCGCACAGTGGTGTGGGAACCATGGGGCATAACTGTACGAATGTCAGAGGAATGGAGTTTGGGCTCCGTCAAGAATGATTGCCGATTGTCTGGTTGATGACGTTTTCTGACCGCAAAATTAGTTCCCGTAGCAGACGCAGAAAGAGACTCAGTCGATGGTTGTTCAACTAGTGCTACGCGGCGGGAGCAACAACACCGGGTGAAATGGCCCCGCTTACCACAGTTTTTGCAATCCACTGTACGGGCCGGACACATTTGAGAATCTGCTTTGTGACAGGAACTTCCACATCGAAAGCACAAAACAGTCACATTCTGAGATGGCGTAAAATTAGTGTTCCGAATCTTGCTGATATCGAATTATTCTTTGGTGCTGAACAGACATGACTGTTCCAGGGCAGTTGTTTCGAGTCTAGCGACCACCAGGGGTTCTGAGTCCTCTTGTCGCAAACGGCAGAATTTGTAACGCTCAACAAAAACATTAGGTCGAGCGCCCCAAGATCCATCCAGTACATCTAATGCATTTGTGATGTGTCCACTTTTTGTACTTTTAGTGCACTAACAGTGCCTCAGCCTGGAGAAAGCGAAACGAGTTCTTGAGATACGCATCGAAGTCCCAATTTCAACGCCCAATCAGCAGGTACACAAAATTTTCTACAACCTCCAGTGTCTCGTCACCAAGAGTGGGGCAGGTACAGGCATCTGCCAATCTTGAAGAAGTGCTTTGCTCCTGGATGGAGAAAAGCGCATGCCATACTTCCACGCTTCAATCGCCAAGCGGTTAAGTGCAGGTTGGATGAACTGTGGACTGTCTCCCGGCGTAGTCTGAGTCAACTGTTCGACCGCCTGGAAGGAGCTCAACGCCAGCATTAAACGAATCTTCTAGAGCGCTTGTGATGACATCATCAGTGGTAAAATTGAAGAGGAATGGAGAGGTAGGACATCCTTGTCGAACCCCGCCGGCCCGTAGCCCAAAGGTAACAAACTTGTCAAGTAATCTGACGGCGCGGGTTCGAGCCTGCGTAGGAACAGAGCGACCCTCGCAGTATCCTTGGCCCACGTGCAACTGGTGGTGATTGCGCGGCAGCAAGCGTCGGTACTGCGTACTGGTGTACTGCTGATGCCCTTCCTTCCAAAAAAACCAGAAACGAGCTGAGCCCAAGGTCAACCCAGATGATGTCTAACGCACCGGAAAGATATCAATCAACAGACCAGGGTTGATTTGAATCAGGACCGAACGCGCATTCGGACAGTGCAGGTCTTACAGCGTGAATTCTTTCACCTGCGTTGGTTCACGTTCTGTTCTCAGAAAAAACGGTTTTTCGGGTACTCGCCATGCTCGTTCTTCATTGCTGGGGATTGACCTACGCTCTACAGTGTACGACACAACAGAGACTCACAACACCAACGCCATTGAGGTCGGCTCCTCGCCATGTCAGTTAGCGCATCCAAGCAAACGCATTTATTGTCCTTGGGACCCCAGCCCGGCAGTCGAGAAACACAAACCGACGCCAAGTTCGAAGTGAAGGACCTCATTTATCTTGACCAAGTCATCGCTTGGTCTCCCCTCCTCTGAGAGGCATCACCAATAGACCGGAATGCCGTACCAGCGATTCGCTGCAGCGCAGCCACCATCGGTCGCATGTGGGCTAAGGATACTGCGAGGGTCGCCCTGCTCCTACGCAGGCTCGAACCCGCGACGTCAGGTTACAAAACAAGCTTGTTACTTTTAGGCTACGGGCCGGCTCCCCTTCAAGCCCGAGGAGAACAATGTCATTTGCATACTCCAGGTTCGTCAATCGGTCAACTGGAGTAGTCTGAACTAACAGTCATTTCAATCGCAAAATTGAAGAGAGAAGGAGATATAGGACAACCCCGGCGAGCCCCACTTGTTGTGGGGGATTCAGGAGACAGTTTCCCGTCGATCCTTATGCGGTTTCGGGAATCACGGTAGAGATACTGCATACTGGAAAGGAATTTAGCCGGAACGCCCTTCACGGATAGGAAGTGCCACAAATTGGCGCAGTCAACAGAGTCGAAGGCGGCTTTCAAGTTAAGGAGAACCACCATTGCCGGTCGTTTGCAAGTGTCTATCTGCTCTGAAACATAGCGAAGGATAAATATGCGGTCGATGCAACCACGACCAGTGCGGAAGCCAGCTTGGCTTTCAGTGCTTTAGTCCTCACGGGGACCAGTAAGTCGTCGAAGAAACAAGGCAAATGCCCCGATTATTTGCGCAAAAAAGCGCTGCTCCGTCTTGATAGTCACCAGTCCGGAGTCACTTCTTCAGTGCCCCAAGTGGTGTTAAAAATAGGAGCAAGCTCAGTCAACAAAGAGTCACCTCCATCTTACAGCAAAGATGTGGGAATGTCGTCGGGTCCTGGAACCTTGTTTGGCTTCAACAAGGAAAGCTCATGTCGAATCTCTCCTAGAGTGAGGTGTGCATCTACTTCCCACGTAAGCTTAAGTGATTCGGGAAGCGATGGTTTCGCAGCAGGCCTACTGACCCGCTCCTCAAAAGGTTCCGCCCAACGGGCTAGCCGACGAAGCTGAGAATGGATCAACTGTCCATGTTCCTCAGCTATGGTCGCACTTACTGATGGTTTTCTCGGACTCGTGTTCCGGATTAGCTGGAATAACACTCAGCTGTTTTTAATAGCACTGACTTCCATCTCAAGGGCCTTTGTAACCCACCATGGTTCCCGGTCAACTCGAAGGCTCCTTGTCAGACAGTTTAAGGGAGTTAGAGACATGCTGAAACTCAGTGCCCATCGGAAACTGTTTACGCGCTTCGATGGGACGGATCGATGCCACAGTTACGTCACAAGTTGGGTGTACATCATGCGTCAAAGGCATTCTTCATGGCATATTTAAGACGGACCCAGTCAGCGTTCGACTCACCAACCTCATTTGTCACTGAAGATTGACGGGTCAGTTCATTATGATATTGTCGAACTGTACAGGTTAGAAGATAGGCACTTCTTTGAAGCGGGAAGAGTGAGTGCCAGGTGCGCGCACTACAGCATGGTCGGAATCTAGACATGTGCTTCGAATTGACCGACAGTCTTGGACTGATGTGCGCCATATGTTGCTGATGGCAAAATGGGCAATTGGGGTCCAGGTCAGCGAGGAACCCGGTGGGCGCCAGGTGACGCGGCGTGAACGTTTGTGCTGGGAATCAGTGCTGCTAATATAAGGATTGTGGTCGGCGCACGGTTGCAGGAGTCGGTCACCATTGTCTGTTCGGCGTGCAGCGACTCTGAAGCGCCCTCCCAGGTGTTGTTCAGAATATGAAAAACGTCCCACTTGGACCTTCAACTCACCGACAGTACTGTTCGCCATGCGGAGAGGAGATAGGAGCTGTTGATATAAATGGTCTTTGATGCCCCTCCGAACTGGTCAATAGGAGCATAAATAGAGGCGATGAAAAGGCACCTTGTCTTTATACGGTGCTTATTAACCCCAATAGAAGTTCGAGGTTGAACCGCACACATGCGGCTGTTCAAGGGTATCTAATTGAGTAGATTACCTTCAGCATGTCTGCTGCGTGTGATACCAATACCGTAAATACTTTGAGCCATTGACTCGGTATCACCAAAGACGCGAAGAGTGCAGTCATCGTCGTCAGATTCAGAACCAGGGAATAGAAGATTCGTCACAACGCTTTTATCTCGTATGCCTGTTTCGGAGACCCAGCACACATCCATACCGAGAGAGTGAAGAGTGAGATTCAGTGCTACCTTTTGGCCGATCTGACCCAAAGTACGGACACTCAAAGAACCAATGTGAAATGAGACTCGTGGTTTGATGGACGAGTTGCAAGTATCGATGGCAGCAGCAGTATCAAGGGCAGTTTCTTGCTTAAAAGACGGAGAAAATAGTTGAAAGGGGATATAAAATAAGAAGAGGAGCATTTTCGATGGAGTCGAGGGTTCAGATGATGCTATCCGGCTGCCCATTTGAGGTACCCTACATTAAGCCATTGATTCAACAGCATGACCTACAAGGCAGTGTGAAGCAATTCTAAATTGGGTGTGTGGCTGCAGAAACTCGTGGGGATCTGCTCGAGTCCTGTCACACACAGCTTTTGAAGATTTAGAACAATGCACGTGTTTTACGATCGTATTATGTTACGCACCCGCGACTACGGTCAGTGGCAGGTGGGAGTTGGGAGTTATCGTAGAGCAACGGACAATGACAGTGCAATTCACGGCTTAAATGGCTGGAAAACTGATACACTTCTGCAGGGAAGTGCTAAGCAAGTTCACTTAGTGAATCAGAAGAACATGCGAACCGCTGTTATAAATGAGAGTTATCTTAGTTTCTCGGTTGGACGGTGTTCACCCAAATACTTTGAAGCCCGTGAAATGCTTACGGAAGCTAACGGAGATGTACAGCAAAATAAAAACCGTCAAAAAATGTGCAGCGCAAAGGAGCAGAAAGTAATTTTTACACGGTCTTACCAAAATACCATTCAGGAAGAGCAGGAGCCGGAGGACAGTCATCCGCACAGCCATATCGCTCGAATAGGTCTTCTAAGTAGTCTGCTTTGTATATACCAGGTGGACGCGCTTCGGCAAAAATTCGGACAGCAATATCAACCCTAGAGAGATGCAAAGAAAGCAACAAAGACTCACCCGTAATTCAATTCTTCGACTAAGTAGGCGACAATGAGAAATCCAGTTCTGTTGTAACCATGCGTACAATGAACGCCTTGAAATAACAATGTTGTAAAACACAGCACACATGATTTACCAATTTTGCGTTCGCCGGAGTCGCTGTCAATAAATTGATTAACAATCTTTATGAAAAGATCAACTTGTTCTGGAGTAGGAGTCTCTTCGTTTCCCTTGCACTCGATCTTTACGTATTTGCAGTTATTATCTACGACTTCCCGACGGTGATAGAAACGCTTGGACTTAGTCAGATCAACAATCACCCCAAGCTTATACTGTTGAAGTCGAATGAGTAATCATGGTTAAGAGTAAAACGACCTTACCGGTTCCGCCAAGCGGAACATATCGTCCACGTGAAAAATTTGTTCCGGCTGGATAAAATGATCAAATTTGGAGTCTAGAGGAGTTTTGAATGGGATGAAAATATCCAACACCATGTTTCCTATTCTTGGGCAATTCAACCAACGAGGCGGAAGGGCGGCCATCCCTCTATGACCCATTGTGTGGCTGCTGAAAGTGAGACACGCAAAGATCAGTGCGATTAGAACCACGAGACAAAATGTGGGGAAATGCATGTGGTCCAACGACAAGATGTCTATGTAGAGACAAAGAAGACGGAAAATAGCAACGCACAACCAACGGCTCAAATTAAATGTTTGCGAAGATATTGACTGTTACATGTTCAGGTGATGCTATCCAACGCAGAGGACTGAGTAAGTCAACACAAAGGGGGAGATCAAGTCTTTCCATGCATGAGGCTTGCTAAGTAGAAAGAGAAGTAAAGCAACGTCAATATGTTGGGATGTGGTGCCAACACTTCGCTGGCATGTGAATACTAGTAGTCGCGCTAGACAAAGGATACTGTGAAATCGCACGCATCTAGGCAGAACCAAGCCATCGATCTGTGGATTGCAAGGTAGACAACTGAACCACTCGACCATCGGTCGGTTAATTTTCAGAGATAAGGTAGAAATCTGAAACAAGCAAATGGAAATCGAATAGGATGTCAACTCTAAAGCGTTTCCTGACCAATTATGGAAACGCTTAGAGCTTGTGCTTTCTCAAAATATTCCTTTATTCATAAACGAGAGGAACCGCGAATATATATATATATATATATATATATATATATATATATATATATATATATATATATATATATATATATATATATATGGCGAGAGTCCATGCTGCGCTGAGGCTTGTGGTGGCTAGACCCTGACAGATCTTTGACCCTCTGCTTCCAAAGCTGTGCCGTGAGCCCATGTCCTAGATGCCTCTTCCTGGCGACCACTGAGTGGGAGTTGGATTACACCGTTCGTCTAGCTAAGAGCCAGGAAACAATTCCGCGTGAGTCGGCTCACTTGTAGTGACCTGGAGATTGTCCTGTTTGTCTGTGTAAAATATTATTAAAATATATCGTTCTGTACATAGACAACTTAGGAAGCTTGCCTGTTCGCACGATGACTAGGTGTGTTTGAGTCATCCAGACGAATCGCATTCGCCCGCTTCTGGCTTGTTTGCCTAGAAGGGCATTTGCTGCGTCCCAACTAGTGACTATACCTTTCCCCTAGCTAGAACCTTTTTGCGGTGCCTTTAACTAGTGGGATTGTGCCTTTCGACAATAAACATCTATCTCAATCATATATCCGTCTTTTTCCGACCTTTCCTTGAGGCAGGACGAATGAGATATAGCGACCGAACGATTCCCCTATAACTGGTGACCCCGACCGAAAATTTCGTAAGCCATTTGCTAATTTTTCTTTCCAGGTTAGTTCAGTTTCGCAGTACATCGATCCATTTTCATATTTTGGTGCATATTTCGGACTCTATATCGCTTACTTCATATCATTTTTCTGCTACGGATACATCTCACCCAGTCCTCGACGGTCAGGTTGAAATGTAACCATCGCCACTCCGCCCTTTCGCGAAAGCAATCCAAAACATTGGTTTGCTCAGTTGGAGGCACTTTTCAAACTTCGTGGCATTAGATCTCAATCAAATATCTCCACGTCGTTTCCGCGCTTCCTCCGCACGTCGCTGATGATATCGACGATATCTTCGAGTTGCCAGCAGAGAGGAAAACCTACGAGGAAATTAAAACCGTAGTTCTCAAAAGGACAGGTCTTTCAGATTGTCAACGTATCACGAAGCTTCTGAGCGAACGGAGTTAGGTGACCTCAAGCCACCGCGCATCGACAATAAACGTCTATCTCGCCTATATATCCGACTTTTCCTTGAGGCGGGACGAAACTGATATCTAACGACCGAACGACTCCGCTATACACTTACTCATGGCGCACGACCCGCTGCCTATCGGGTGTATACTTTATGGAAGGCTTCGGCTGAGGACCTGAGTCGTTCCCATGTAAAATGTGTGCGCCCATGCAGTATCTTAGTCCACCCTCCCAACTATGAATCACGACAATAGCAATAAATCCATGCTACATCGGCCGTCGCACAGTGGCACTAGGAAAAGGGTCGCCTTGTCTACAGGGGCGGATAAGCGAAAACATGCTACTGCTGGCGCCTCCCTTCTTTCTTTTCCATCTTTTTCTCTTACTCCCATCCTAACCCCCATTACTAACCTTCCTTCTATAATTCCCAGCTTAATTGACAGCAACCGAAGTGCCACTGGAGTAGAACCATCTGCAGCCATCATCCCCCGCACCAATCGGACGCCTATCGGCAAAAGTCCCTTATAAGGCCACGCTGTCCCGTTTCCATGGCGACGTTAAACGTTCGCACTCTGACAAATGAATGGACTGAATCAGGACCAGAAGCTTTGGAAGGGTTTAGCACTTGCAATAGCCCTAAGACGAGTCTCCGTTATGCTGATTTCAGTTAGGCAGGAATCCTCCGGAACTCTTGTGGGCAGCTCAACCTGAGGTAAAGGTCTCACGAGCAAAGACATTAGTATACGGTTCGTTAAGTGTACAAGCCTTATCATAGTCGGTATACACACTGATCCCGTCCGCTCGTAGTAACGCTGGTATAGAAGAGTTTGTGTCGCTGCGCATGTTTAGGTAAGCATAGGACTTTGGACTTGTAGCAACTTCATTGGTCAAATCTCGTACTGAAGACGAGCAGTCTTAAGATGTCACTTACATTTATTTCTAACCGCTCGATAGCTTCCGTAGGTGCTGGTTGATGAAACCGCTTGGTAAGTTCGCCAACATTTAGACCGATTCCGGAGCAGGTATTTACCTGTATAAGCTATCCATTGAGTCTGCGCCCGTGTCTCACTTTTCTTAATAAGTGGAATGTGAGGAGTAGAGATCTCGGTGAGATATGTCTTAAATTGCCCCAAACTGACTCAACAGTGTCAGCCAAGGAGATCGCACAACGCAGAACTGAAGCTTTGTCTCGCATTACGTTAAAGTCTGTCAGCCAAATATGCCTCAGCGGTGGCCTGATAACACTTAGTGAGAGCACATCGAAAGGATATGCAGATATGGTCACTGGCTCCTAGGAGACTGCCGTACATAACATCACTTACGAAATCGCAAAAATGAGATCCAAGGTAGACAGCAGCTGGTTTCTCATGTATCTAGTCGGGTGGTTCACGAAATGATGCAAAGGCAGTTGCAACATTAGCTCGAGAACATAAGGACCGAGGGTGTCCGACACCGAACTGCAAGACAGATCAGCCAAACAGAAGTCAGGGAGGTTGAAGCCTCCCAGTATAAGAAAACTATTTGCAGTCTGAATACTGAACGCTCAGAATAGAGAACAAGTAGATAAAAATATGTGTTTACCCCTCACAGGTGGATCGGGCACGTGGCCGAAATCACGTCGTCGATTTCTGCGCCCTGGCAGCATACCGCAGTTGCACTAGATCTCATCCGGATAAGATACACTCCCGATATGTGTAGTTCGCAAAATGGGCGTCAAGGAACCTCCTAAATTCCAACACCATCATCATCATCAACAGCAGTACATCAGCCATTTGAACTGATGCTTCGCTGCCATACAACCATGAGGACCTATGAAATGAGGAATAGGAAAAGGGAGAGAAGGGGAACTTACTTGAAAACATTAATGCCCTAAGCAAACATTCAGGGCCAAGGTGTCTACACCTTGTGTAGACAACATTCCGTCACAAACATCTGGCTATCGAGCAAAGATAAGGCGGCATCGGCGAGACAGCTTCCTTGCGGCTTTCACTGCCAGGCGTCATAATCAGCCATTACCCCGCAGATAACTCAGCACCAAACACACTTTAAACAGACAATTCGATTAGGAGGAGACGGCAGCAGACGCGCCACTGGTGTCGGTTGCGAGCCATGTCCTGTAAAGTCTCGAGCCAAGCACAAGGTGAGTCACGTGGACTCCAACCCGGAAGGCGAGACGAACCAACGGCACCCAGTTTGGTCGTCAGTGACTTCATTTCCCGCTGCCAAGTCAACTTCTGTCCACCTCGAGCGCTGCGCCATCCTACACCTGGCAGACTGAACAAGACCCTCCTAGGTAAGCGGTGACCAGGCATGCGTAGCACGTGCCCGAGCCAACGTAACTTATTCAGTGCTATCTGTTGTTCTAGGGAGCTAGCATGATCATCACCACCTAGTACTCGCCTACGCACATCATCGTTGCAGACACGCTGGTGCCATTCGACACCAGCAATGCTTCGCAAACAACGATGATCAAAGACTTGAAGGCGCCTCAGATCTTCAGACCGAAGGGGCCAAGTTTCACTATCATAGAGCAGAACCGCCCTCACTGTGGCCTTGTATACACGGCATTTCAGACGGAGAGAAACTCCCTTCTGTCGCAAACGATGACGCAGGTTCAAGAAGGCAGCTCTGGCCTTTGCAATGCGTGAGCTCACGTCAGTTTCTATGCGCCCATCATTGCTGATGCAGCTGCCAAGATAAGTGAATTGATCAACCACCTCGAGTTCCTCGTTAGTAAGGGTCAATCGGTTATAAAGTGGATGGTGGTCCTGCAGCAACACTTTGCACTTTGAAGGTGCGAAGTGCATACCAAATAATGGGACCACTCTGGACAGGCTATCCAGGGTTGATTATGCCACCCCAACATTGTCGAAAAGCAAGACGATATCGTCCGCATAATATAAATCAACTAATCTTTCACTAGGCAGCACTTCAACGCCTACATCGTGAGATTCCGCAAGGGAACACTCCATGATAAAATCTACGACGGACGTGAACAAAAATGGGGAAATCGGACAACCCTGACACAGTAGACCGTGACGCGGCCTGTAGTGTTCGAGTATAGAGCACGAAGGATGTTCACATATTTCGTGGGAACACCTTTCCGCACAAGTATTTCGAACAGAATCGATCGATCGACCGAATCGAACGTACTCTTGAAATCAAGGAACACAGCTATTGTCGGTCTGCGGTATGCGTGGCGCTGCTCTAGCACCTGCCGCAAAGTGAACATATGGTCTATACAGCCACGTCCTGGGCGGAAACCGGACTGCTCTTCCGTAATCCGAGATTCCCGTTCCACAGGGAGACGAACGAACGAGAATCGAAACCAGT